AGCCATTAAAAAAAAAGAAATATTGCCGTCTGGGACAACATGGATGAACAAGGAGGATATTACACTTAATGGACTAAGTTAGACTGAGAAAGACAAATTTATATGTAAAATCTAAAAGCAGACACAAACAAACAAACAAAACAAGCTCACAGATGCAGAGAAGAGATTAGTGGCAGCCAGAGAGGGGGGTGAAGAGCAAAAGAAATGGATGAGAGAGGTCAAAAGGTATAAAATTTCATTTATAAAATAAGTCATGGAGATGTAACGTAGAGTATGGCAACTACAGTTAATAATACTATATTACATAGCTGACAGAAGCTAAGAGAGTAAATATTAAAAGCTCTCATAAGAAGAAAAACCTTGCAACTATGTAAGGTGACAGATATTAACCAGACTTATGGTGATCACTTCCCAATGTATACAAATAATGAAGCATTACACCTGACACTAACATATTAAATGTCAATTATACCTCCATTAAAAAAGAGAAAGAGAAAAAAGAGTTGAACTAGAAACCAAAGTAAATTTCTAGCAGGGGAAAAAAATATTACTATACTCAAAGACTCCTTTCTTTAAATAAATGACCTTTACGTACATCCCTATTATTCTTTAATATATTATATCCATGGAAAGGTTTAGCCCTGGTTCTCTGAAAAATGAGAGGTATTATTTAGTGCTAAATATTCATGTAAGATTTACCACAAATGCTACCATAAGCTTTTAAAATTAAGACGACAGCCAAAATACAAAATACTAGAGGTTTTCTTAACAATATACTAAAATTTACTAAATTTACTAACAGTTTACTAAAGTATAAAAGAAAGAAACATTCACATTAGCTAAAACTTTGCATTTTGTACTAATTATGCTTCTATTGCAACTGCTTACTCTATCTTTGCTAGGAAAAAAAACATTGAAAATAATAGATCATTTTATATAAGTATTTGTGGGATTTTCCATAAAGTTACTTTATATATTCATGCCTTTCAGTATAGACTAGCAAAAAAGAGAACAAACATTAGAGCTTAGCCATATCGTCTTTTCTGTCATTGCAAAAGTACTCTGGTATTTGATAAATTTACTGTATGCATGCTTAATTAGTATGGCAAGTATCCTGTATGTCTTCTTACAAGTAAAAAGTCACTAGTGAAACGTTATCATTTGAGTTACTAGAGTTAGTTGAGATTTAGCTTGTTCAATAAATCTTCAAACTTAAAAGAAGACTGATTGCCAGAAACCCATATGTTTAACAGTACAGATAATAAATCACCCACTTATGAAAAATACTCCATTTCTAAGGTAATACAGTTATACCAGCTAAAACCAAGAAAGAAAATCTGTAATTTCTGGTTTTTAAAAAAAAGCTGATATAAAAATGCAGATACACATGAACTGATACAATTATACTTTGCCAATGAGATCATAATGATCAACATAGCACACAACCAAAACAGGAAATCAATCAAAGAACTTAGTTTAAAATTAAGTTTAAAATTACTCATCCAGGAGCATGGTAGCTCTTCTTGGTCAAGCAACCTAAATTCTAAACAGGCTGAGTCATAAACATCATTAACACAAATTAAAATAATTAATTATAAACCTAACTTTAAAATTTAATTATTAACCAATATAATATAACAGCTTTTATAAGCAGCATAAAAATACACAACTATGCTGCTGCTACTTTTACTCCCACCTACCACTTAATAAGCATCAAGATATGCCAGGTACGGTCTAAGCACTTTGTAAAAGTATTAAATTGTGTAATCCTCTAGCAGCTTTGTAAGACAGATACTATACCCATTTAACTATACCCAATTAACAAATGAGAAACTGAAGTAGCAATAGTTTAAAAACTTAATCAAGGTTACAAAAGTAGTAAAGAGCAGAACTATGATTAAAACCCAGGCTGTCTGATTTGAGTCCACTCTCTTTACCAGTAAAAACCAAAATGAAATTAAAAGTAAAATCACTCTCTATCTTACTTTAGCTATTATCCAATCATAGCTTACTCTAGACTTGATTTCTTTCGACTTTAGGCTTCTACATAATTTTTTCCTTATCTTGATGTTAGAATACTGTTTAGATAGCTCCAGAACATCTGAGAGGCATTTTAGAGAATATATAATAAAGTAATTAGAGCATCTGCCAGAGCATCAGATTGCTTAGGTAGGATATAATAACTCCACAATTTTCTGCTTTGTGATCTTAGGCAAATTACTTCTCAGAGTTTCCTTATCTATAAGATGAGACTAACAATAGTATCTGCTTCACAGTCATCATAAGAATTCAATAAGATTCTACCAACAAATACTTAATGGATAACTAATGCTAACCAAATGCTAATCCCCGGTACCAGAATTACTTGTGAAAAAGACTGACATTACATTCTAACAGGGCAAATAGATAATAAACAAGCAGACTAATAAATTCAAACAGTAAGGGCTATGAAGACAATAAGGTACTGTGAAAGAAAATGAACAAGGAAGCATTGGCAGAGACAAACGTAAAGCATATATTGTTATTGACAATATTAAAAACTGAGATAACTTCTCCCAACAAGGCTTCTCTGAAGATAACTGACAACTTCCCCCCACCCCAAGAATTTAAAAGAAGGCTCTTTGAGGGCAGGGATTATGGTATTGATTCACTCAGTCTACAACTAGGGTCCTGGCACTAGGTTAGGTGCTTGAAACAGAAGTGAATAAAGCACTCATAGTCTTCAAGGAGGTCTCAATCTACTAGAGAACCTGGTGTTGTCTGTAACTGAACCCAGAGCCAGTGGAGAAGATATGAAGAGTAATAAGGTAAGTGTCAAAAACTGAGAAATGCAAGGAACATTCCAGATGAGAATCTAACTCAAAACTGCAAACACCAAGGAAGGCTTCCTGAAGAATTAGGAGAAGTCAGTTAAAACAGAGTGGGAAGGAGGAGAAAGAGCCAAAGAATACCAAAAGTTTATAAAGGCTTAAAGTCCATAGGAGTAAACAGGAGCTTTATAAGCCATCTAAACACTTTTGGAATTTGCCAATGAGTTGTTTCATCCCTTACTCGGGAAAAAAAAAAAAAAATGCAGGCTATATGAAACAAGTTTTAAGATACAGGACATCGGGTAAGGAAGAGTTCTCCCTGAGGGATGGGAAACAAAGGAGATTAAGCCTTATGATTGTTTCAGCTTGTTGTGCTGGCAGTCTCCAGGCTGTGGCACGAGGAAGGGAAACCTAGAAAAGGGAAAAAAAGGAAGGGAAACAGCCCAGCAAACTCAAGCTGAAGAGATGTTGCTGAGAGTTCAGGGAGATCAAGAAGATTATAAAGTTCTCAGGCAAGAAAACCAGAAAGGAGAGAGCTGCACAGAGAATGAACTCCAGAGGTCTGCAGAAGGACCTCTCAAGTATCTAGCAGAGTACTGATCAGCACACGCCAATGAGGAGACAATCTAAGAGAGCAGCAAGAACCACCTGAAATGAGACACGTAGAGCGTGGAACAGTGCCTGTTCCCACCGCTAGGCTAGAAAACGTCTTAATTCATGAAGCATGAATAGGCAGAGGATTCAAAAGGAGCTAGCCTCTACTGAGTTAGCCCAAAACTAAACCCTGATCAAGTCCTCCCTAATAAATCTTAAAAGCAAGACCCAAAAGGATCAAGATGATTCCAAGTAATAACTGCATCCCAGAACAAAAGTCAAGAGGGCTTGTAGAAATACAATATCCAGTATTTGGCAAGGGAAAATTCACAATATTTGGAATTCAATAAAAAAAATTACCAGGCATGATTCCACTCATATAAAACTATGGCAATGAAAACCAGTCAATAGTGACTGAAAAAAAAAAAATCTGTGATTGCCTAAGAATGGTGAGGAGAAAAATGTCCACTGGTCTGTCTTGCATTTGGATGAATCTTTTCCACGCATCATTTTGTAATATCATAAACAGGTCATTTTGAAAACATTTGGTATACTGATTTTACAGATCTTACAAATAAACATTAATACATTTCATTATATAATATCAAAAAGTCACATATATAACATCACCACCAATAAATATCATCAGAAAAGTCTTTTAAGTACCAGAAAACTGCTAACCTCACAATAGTATAGACAATTTTTCAGATTCTGATTTTTCACTTGAAAGGTCAAATTTTATCAAGCTCACTTTATTTTCAAGAATCACTGTAGTCTGTCAGTTAATTTTTGAAGTAAAAACAATGCTCTGTGAAAAACGTGACTAGTTCAGCTCACAATTCAAACTATCCTACAAGTGTTTTTCTTTAAGATAACCATTCTATTCCCGAATGTGAAAGTGTTTTACAAAAACTATTCTTCACCCAGAATTAAAGTCTTAAGGGTGAAAAATTTAATAAAATTAGCAACTTTTACTGCTTCATCAAGGACATTCTTAAGTGAAACTGGCTTTTCTTAATTATGCATTAAAGACAGAGAAGAAAATTACTATTAATACACGTTGGTGGCAATATCTTGATTGTGCTAAGGCATCATAGAGTTTTACCAGTCTTTGCTTTTGCACCATCAATGCAAAACTTGAAGACAGTTTAAAAAAAAAAAAAGGTAAGTAACATCTTAACATAACTATGAAAGTACTTCTGACCCCACAGACTGCCTAAAAAAAAAAAATCTCAGGAATCTCCGGAGTTCCCTGACTAATCCTTGAGAACTGATGCCCTAAGAACACTGAAAGACCTTTAGGAAAAAAAGAACGTTAGGATATGGAATTCACAAACATTAGAATGTACAAGAGGGGAAAAAAAAAACTTTCAGATCTCATTGCAGTCCAATTCTCTTATTTTATAAGTGAAGAAACGGGCATAAAGAGCACAGGTTTCCCATTTCTCACAGCAGCAGACATGCAATAGAACTTAAGACTACTGAGTTTTTCTCTATTCTTGATTATACTAGTCTTTCTCTTTTTCAAAAATGCGTTATTAACAAATACCACATTTGCCTTCTTTAAACTAACTGAACAATGTCATAAATACATACATTCTGTGGAGATGTGGAGTTTATCTTTCCTAATGGAGAGTTGAGTTTTGTGGTCTTTCCTGAAGCAACTTTTGCATCCAAATGGTGTACCTCCTTCTCAAAACAATGACGTTTTCTGATCTGTAAATACAGAACCAAATTGAAGTTTATTGTAAACTAAAAGTTTGATGAGGCTAGTTGTTCTCAAAGATCAAAATAACTATAGTGTGCACTTTTCGCATTAAAAATAATTACTCTTTCTAACTAGTAGCAATCAAGTTTCTAACAAATAGGCACTTTATTACAAGACTTAAATAAAACAGAATGCAGTAATGCCTCTCAAATTCCAACCAAAATAGCTTTAATTAGAGATGTGTCAAAACTTTGCATTGTAAAATGATCTTCCCATAAAATAGTCCCACCATATGGACACCAAGAATAGCATAATACCAAGTCCAATTACATATCCAATTGGAAAATTAAATAAACATGAAAAGATTATTCTAAATTGAAAAAAAAAGAATAAAAAATTTGAATGTAAATATTCATTATTTCCTATATGATAGAATAAATTATTTGATTACTATTATATTGCTTGTTAGATATCTAATAATCCAAACTGTATTTGACTAAGTTTCTTTTATAAATACCACTGTTCTCTTTCCATGTTGGTCCTTTAATGGACCGGAACCTGGTGGTCCGGAGTCGACGATAAGAAAGTAAGAGAAAGAAAGAGGCTGATGTCCCCTGGTTCACGTGGAAAGCCAATAGAGTCCTATTCTTAGGGCTCGCGCTGCTGCACGGAGGCACCGGGCGCCCTCTCGAGTGGGTGAAGGCGCGGTGCGCCTTCTCGAGAGGGGCTTAGAAGCCCGGGCAAGAAAGGGAGCTCAGCGGGCCTCCGCGCTCCAAGGAATTAGCCAGAAATAGAGAGAGAGAGAGAGAGAGAGAGAGAAAGACAGAAAGAATAGAAAGACAGACACGGGGACCCAAGCTCTGATGGAGCAAAGGTGTTTTAATCAACATGGCGTGGGCATGTATACCAGAACGCAATCCCTGTCAAAGAGAGCTGCGAACAATCACCTTTCACCGTTTGGCTCATAAAAAGGAAGAGGGCACTTATCACGTGATGAGCAATGCCTGGATTCCTCAGCCCCGGAAAGGCATGCCTCTCCTCTTGATTCCCGAATATTCAGGAATTCATAAGGGCCAGAGGGTTCCTGACAGATCCAAAACAGCACACAGGAGGCCTCTTGTTAAATGCTTCCTGACATTTCCAAACTACATGTGCTTTTTCTTACTTGCCAAAAACCTATGTACTCAAACTATGAAGGGGAAAAAAAGCATTTCTACTGATAATTTATTACTATCAAAAAAGAAATGAAAGCCAATGAAATCAGGGAATAAATGTTTTACTTTGAACCCTACTTCACAGCATCTAACTGTAAGTACACATTTTGCTGGTAAAAATTTTTAAAGATTCACACTTCATTTGTAATTAGAACTTTTCCAAATATAAAACTAGAAAATGGATTTATCCTATTTCTAAAAACAAGGTTTAATTACAGAAGTTAAGATTGTACATGGAACAAACTACATAAAAATGCAAACATTTTTTGAGTATATTAAATTAAAAATATACGATTATCTACAATGACATGCTAATTAATTAATAATCTTTATTTGTAACTAAATCTATTAAAGTCCAGTCTCCCTACCTCAATGCTATGAACTCTATGAGAAAATGTAAGAGTTCAATGCCATGAACTCTATCCACCTATTAAAAGTATATTTCATTTAAAACTTCTAGTAATTTTGGCCTTTGGAAATAAACATATTTTATAATTATTCATAATAAAAACTCAATAAATAAGAGTAATCCTTATCATTACATTAAAACTATTAATATCAAAAATATCTGACCTAAATACTCGTATCAGAGGTATTTTGGCCAAAAGAAAACACCATTATTAGATAAAAAAACAGAACAGTTAAAAGTACAAAGTAACCCTATTACTATAACATGCCATAAGTAAATGTTTTACTATCAAATTTCTTAAATATAAATAAGCATCATTCAGTTTCACTTTAATGACATGCTACTATGAATAATCTACTATAACAAGCTCCATTGTAATGAATAAATATATAAAATGAAATTACAGTAACTGGTCGTTAAATTTATATCTGACACTATCCAACTAATCTCTACAAATGCCACTGAAAACTTGATTGATACCTTGTTCAGCCATAACTAATGGGATTATTTCACTGCCAAAAGACTGTTTACCTGCTGTGCAGTTTCCAAGGGTCGAATTCTTTTCTTTTCTACTTTAAAATCATCATTTTCATCTCTGTACATAGATGCCTGCTTCTTAGCAGATAGCTTTGCAGCCAGTGTAGTTTTTTCAGGAGAGTCTTATATAAGAAGTCATAAAAAATTAGTGTAAGTAAATTACATTTAGTCAATTTTTCCAGGAAAAAAAACTGGAGTTAGGATGTAAGATTTTAATCTGTAAGAATACTGAATCACTATGCTGTACATCTGAAACTAATATAATACTGTAAATAGAGTACACTTCAATCTTTAAAAAGATGTTGACATTTCTAATAACTTCAAAACATACTTTAAAATATGAAATGCTAAACATCTTTAAAATCACTTATTTATCACTCAATTTACTTAACAAAGACAGAGCAAACATTGTAAGAAATGTTTTCAAGAGGAAAAGTCCAGCCTTGATTTTTAATAGGTTTATGCTTTTGTAGACCACTTCCAATAATGTGGCTTAAAAAACGTAACTGTAAGAGTCTCTCAAAAACTTTTCATCTGTATAAAAATCTTTCTTTACAGTGCCTTAGTGTTCTTTTCTACTAAAATTCTCTATGATCTTCAGGCTAAAAACACAGTAGAATCAAGCTCCTAAAATCTGTTTTTTAATTCCACAATCCTGAAAGCTCAATCTCGTTTATCAGTGACCTCTTAATCACCAAATATTATCCCCATTTTATATATGTGAGCACCAGGTTTTAAAAGAAGTCAAGTAACATGCTCATATCATATGGCAAGTAAAAGGCAAGGCCTGCATGTGACTTGACTCCTGCTCTCTGACTCCAAAATCCATACGCATAACCTCTAGGCATACAGCCAAACATAACACTTTGTCTTCTTGGAACATAACAAACACATTTCCTTTCTCCTTAATTTCTATAACACCGTTCTTAACTGTTCCTATACAGTGGTTCTCCCTTTCCCTAAAACATTCTTAAAAGTACCTTCCTTACTCTCTGCTCTTCTCTACACATTCCCTCCACTCCCAGAGTTTCAATTCATTTATTCAAGCATTTATTATATTGAGTCCATATAATTCTAGACATCATGGAAAACAATGAAGGAAAAAGTTCCTGGCCTTAAAAGATTTACAGACTATTAAGGGGAGAAAGCCCTGTGAGCAGCAGGTCCAATCCATTTTCAAAAAAAGAAGTTTGAGTTTGCACAAACATAGAAGTGAATCTATGCCACACAGCATTGGTTTTCAAGCTTTTTCTGAGGAGGACTATATTTTTAAAAGAAATATTGCTTAGGATTTCTAAAATACAATGAAAGGCCTAGAATTTTGCTGATCTATTGTCTCCTTCTCCCTATAAGCTATGTTTCTTCCTTAGGCTCTTAGGAACATAGTTTGAAACCCATTATATTCTAAAATCTTAATAGTTCTGCCTTTCATACCTAGGTCTTTAATCTACCTGGTATGAGTTTTTGTGTATAAAGTAGGGCTCCAATGTTAATTTTTTTCTTACAGATATTTAATAGCCAAATGGCAACCCACTCCAGTATTCTTGCCTGGAAAATCCCATGGACGGAGAAGCCTGGCAGGCTGCGATCCATGGGGTCGCAGAGTCGGACGTGATTGAGAGGCTTCACTACTTACGGAAAAACCCCTCTGTGCCCTCTGCTCTACACAAGCTCTTCTATTAAAAAAATCAAGTTTCAGCATACATGGAGAATGGAATCTGGGTTCTCTACAATTTTCCACTATGCTAATACCATGCTGTTTTAATTATTATAGCTATATACATATAATGAATCAGGATATCTCACAGATCACGTCCTCTCACCTCAACCTGCTTCCTGAAAACTGTCTTGGCTGTTCTTAGTCCTTTGCATTCCCATACATATTTTAGAAAACACATGTAATTTTGAGCCCTACAATTTCCTGGCTAACTAGTAAAATAAGCACAAACAAATCTAGACCGGTGATTCTTAACTTGGCTAGTTTTAAGCATCGCAGCCTAGACCGCAGGGCCAGTAGGACACCAGGCAATATCTGGAGACGTGCTCGGTTGTCACAAGCTGGGAGGAGGGTGTGCACGACTGGCATCTAGTGGGCTGAGGCCTGAGAGATGCTTCTGAACATTCCACAATGTGCAGGACAGAATTACCCACAACACAATTATCCCATTCAAAATGGTAATGGTGCCAATGCCGAGAAAGTGTTAGCCGCTCAGTCGTGTCCAATTTTTTGCAACCCCGTGGAGTGCAGCCCTCCAGGCACCTCTGTCCATGGAATTTTCCAGGCAAGAAGACTAGAGTAGGTTGCCACTCCCTTCCCCAAATAAACCAAGGGGCAAATTGGTAGGACTCATTAAAGGGTATGGAACATCTACCAAAAACAATAATCCAGTTTTAGAAAAATTAAACTGCCATGTGCCAAATACAATTAACTCCAATTCATGAAAAAAAAATTATATGCATACACAAAAAGGCTTATCTTCCTAGTCTTTATAGTAGGGGAGTTTGCAAGAGGCTTACCAAAGGTGTTAAATCTTTAAAATAAAAGGTTATAAAGAAATTAAGTATATTCAGAATATACTTAAAACAACAACAAATCCTGGAAATCAGTAAGAAACAACCCAAAAGAAAAATGGGCAAACACTTGAAGGGGTAGTTCACTGAAGGGGATATTCAAATAACCAATAAATACATTAAAAAACACTCAATCTCATTAGTTACCAGAGAAATATCAAATAAAACTCACAACACCACCACAAAGGAACCAGAATGGCTAAAATTTAAAAAGACTCAAATATCCAGTGCTAACAAGAATGCTGAACAACATAACTTCCACATACTACTAGATATAGGGCAAAGGGGTGTAAAATTGGTTCAATCATTTGGAAAATGTTGGCATTATCTACTATAGCTCAACATAAACATATACACAAAAACTAGCAATTCTATTCCAAGTTATATATCTAATAGAAAATATTTACCTATCTGTACCAGAAAGAATAAGAATACTTATAAAAGATCAACAACCAAAATAAGAACCCACCCAAATGTCGAACAGTTGTAGAATGGATTAATAAATTATGGCATATAATCTATTACATGCCATAAAATAAAGCTATAAGAACCATACTTTATGCAACAACCCAAATGAATCTCAGAAATATTTTAGGCAAAAGTTGACAGACACAAGCGTACAAATATAATTCCATTTCTATGAAGAAGCAAAACTCATCAATGATGACATAGGGAAAACAGCAACTACCTATAATGAGAAAGAATACCAATTGGAAAAGAACATGAGAAGTGCCACTGGGGTGTTGGCTATGTCCTATTTTTCATCTAGGTGGTAGTTACTTGAGTGTAATTACTCTATGAAAATTCATCAAGCTATACACTTAGAATTCTGTGTGTTTTTCTATATTTAAGTTACATATTTTTAAAGAATTTACCTAAAAATATAAAGAAAGTATCAGAATATAACCCAGATTTACCCCATCTGATCCTTGAAAAGATTATTCTAAATAACTCTAACTCACAACTATATTAAAATTCAAGTTGTGTAAATATTGAAAATTGATTTTTTACAAAGTTAAAAAAGCAATGCAGCAGATAAAGAACAGCCTTTTTGATAAATGGTGCTGAACAATTAGATATTCATACGCCAAATAAATGAACTTGAATCCACACTCACACCATATACAAAAATTAACCCTTAGACCTAAAAGTAAAACCTAAAACTAAATTTGATTAAAAAAAGAAACTTGTACTCAAAAATATATAAAGAACTCTTAAAACTTAACAATAAGGAAAAAACAATAGACAAGCAAAAGATTTCAACACAGTTCATGAGAGAAGACATACAAATGGCTAATAAGCACATGAAAAGATGCTCAACATCACAAGTCATCAGGGAAATGCAAAATAAAACCACAATAAGACACCACTATAAGCTTCTAAGAGTGATGCTGGGAAAGACTGAAGGCGAAAGGAGAGGGGGTGGCAGAGGATGAGATGGTTGGATGGCATCACCCACTCAACAGACACGAATTTGAGCAAACTCCAAGAGAGAGCGGAGGACACAGGAGCCTGGTATGCTGCAGTCCATGGTGTCACAAAGAGGTGGACACGACAGTGACTGAACAACACAATACGCTTATCAGAATGGCTAAAAAGATTACCACACCACTGTCGGCAAGGACCTGCCATAGAGAAATGAGAACTCTCATACACTGCTGGTAAGAATGTAAAACAGCGTAACTACTCTAGGAAACAGTTTTGAAGTTTCTTAAAAAGTTAACCATAAGTGATCCAGTCATTACATTTCTAGATAAGTACCCAGGAAAGTAAAAACACATGTCCATAACAATGACTTATAAACAAACATTCCTAACAGCTTTATATGTAGTAACAGCCCCGAAACTAGCAACAACTCAGATATACAACAACAGGTGACTGGATAAACAGTTTGCAGGGCTTCCCTCGTGGCTCAGATGGTAAAAGAATCCACCTGCAATGAGGGAGACCCAAGTTTGGGGAGGAGGAATTAGAGGTTGTTTGGGGAGGAAGAATTAAGAGGTGGGAAGGAGGAATAACAAAAGAGCATGAGTAAACTTTTGAAGGTGATAGATATATTCACTACTTTAATGTTGGTGAAAGTTTCAGGGAAATACTCTTACATTAAAGCTCATCCAAATGTACTATTTAAATATATAGTTTGTTATGGCAAGTATATTTCAATAAAGCTATCTTTTTTTAAAAAAATTCAGGTTGTACATAAAACAAGTCAGAGTTCTTATAATTAGATCAAAATCAATTCCATTCTTTCATACAACAGGTATTTAACTAACTACTACCTATATGCCAGGCACTCTGCTAGTTACGCAATGATGAGCGAACGGACGACAGTTCCTGATCTCATGGACTATACAGTCTGCTAGGGGAAGCAGAGATTAATAAAAGATGCGCACAAACACATGGATGACATAAGCTGTAGCAAGTGCTATGAAGGAGAGGTACACAGTGAAATGACAGAATATAACAAGGAAACCAAATCTAATCTGATGGAAAGATCAGAATGGCTGCCTTAAAGAGTGATACTTAAGCTGAGAGCTAAAGGAAGAGCAAGTTAACAAGTTAAAGATGGAACCTGACTCGGAAGAGACATTAACTCATGCAAAGGAGAAAGCATGACCCTCTGAAGGAATGGAAAGAAAGCCAAGAGAGTTAACAGTCAAAACCGTGTAGCCAACACAAGGGGTCACCTCTCCAGCCTCTACTCCACTTCCTCATCCTCATTCCCAACAGAATCACACTTCAGTTCAAGCAGCTAACACCCTCCACAGTAAAGTGCTTTAGCGGAAGATGAATCCATCCTTGATTTTAGAAAGTGGATACCGTTTAGACATACGTCAATCATCGTAACCTCTTTTCTCCCAGCCATTGATTGCCATTAGTTAAGGAATGGCATGAGTGAAAGCAGGAAAGGAGTTATTACATGTTCTAAACAAGAGACGATAGTTTGGACTAGGAGATATCAATGGAGATAGAAATCTATATGGGGGAATAAGGAAGAGCAAAGTATATAGGATGTGTCCTAGGTTTCTGACTTAGGCAAATAATGGTCAATCTTCTCCATATAGTCAAAGCACAAGAATTATCTTTAAATTAATAATCTAATCTTATTGATAATGTATTTCTCTCAAATAAATCTAGTAAGAACTCCCTAAGTAGCTCAAATGGTAAAGAATCTGCCTGCAATGCAGGAGACCTGGGTTTGATCCCTGGGTCAGAAAGATCTAGAGAAGGGCATGGCAACCCACTCCAATATTCTTGCCTGGAGAATTCCATGGACAGAGGAGCCTGGTGGGCTACAGTCCATGGGGTCATAAAGAGTAGGACACGACTGAGCAACTAACACAGACACATTTAAGGATCATACTTGAAACATAGCTGATTCTTAGATAGGATACTGGTCTCAGAAGGTCAGGCAAACTTACCAAGAATAAGTGAGGCTAATTAGATTTTGTCTTATGCTTACAGATCAAAATGGTTTATAAAATTCTATCATATAACTAATACTGCCTACAAATAACATCAATTTCTGAGTACCATTAATTTTGCCTTGCCTCCTTTAAAAATGGTTTACGTTAGCAACATGTTTGAATCAATTAAAAGTGAGGCCAAGAAGAAAACAGTCCAAGGATTTCTGACCATTCTATGCATTATTTAAAATAATTCCAGAGAAATTAGGTGGAAATACATAACCAATTATGCTAACCAAATTTATCTACATTAGGTATCAAAACAGTAATAATTAACACTTATCACAGACACCAACAGACCCAGGCACAATATAAACTACCTTGAGAACCTGACAAAGTGCCATTTCTTTCAGAAGGTGGTGTACTTGGAGGGCTGAAATGATACGAAGTTCGCTGGTGCACATCACTGTTTGCAAAATTCTTTGAATGGCACGTACAACAACATGACAATGGTACTTCAGTTTTCTTTCTTAAGCTTTCATCCACTGGCTTCCCTAAAAATGAAAGAATCTCTAATTAGAAAAACATTAATCTTTCTTCACAGCTAGGGTACACAACCACCCTTTTTTTGCCCAAGGTTAGGAGGTTTCCCAGGATTAAGAATCTCAGGGCTAAAATCAGAAAACTACCTGGCAAATCTGGACAAGCTGATCACTCAATCTGCAGCACCGAATGAGGACAGGAGAGAAACACTTATGCCAGAAACATATATAGAGAAGCTAACAACAAATTTACCTGATTTAGAAAAATCTAATAATAGTCAAAGATTAATAATGCAACAAAGGCACAACCACTACTGAGATATATTAAAATACTAGGTATACCTAAGGTCTATTCTTAATTACTTACATTCTTAAGTAATTTTCCTAACTGCAGAACTTGAAAGTTCAATATGGTAAATAATGTAAACAAAAAAGGGTTAAATCAAAAACAAACAAACAAAAAAAAAGGGTTAAATCATTCCCACTTTTACTTCTATTTCAAAAATCATGTTTCATAATATCATTTTTGATAGCTGTATCAAAATACAGTTTAAAGTCAATATTCAAATTAAACAGGTAACTTTTAATACCTAAGTACAATACAAAATTGCAACAGTTCTGCATGTGTGCCTACAGTGTGTAAGAATATAATTCGGATATTAAAAAATCTGAAAAATTTATTGTACTGATATTAGTTTCCCATCTGTACTACATAAATACATTTTCCAGAGTCTCCCATTAAAATTTCATTAATAGATAATCTCATTTTCACCAAAGATAAACATCAGTAAGAAACAAAGTGGACAAACAAAAGCTTATAAAATATTTACTTTTAATCTTTAATAGTCTTACCAGTAGCAAATTTTAAACAACACGTATGTGTGTATATACACACATATATACACACATACATATCCAGTTAATTTAAAATTCTCCTAATACTTTAGGTCAAAGCCATCTAATTATGTAACTTAAATGTATCCAATATTGTATTTCAGATTTATCATATAAAATGAGTGAGTGAGTGAAGTTGCTCAGTCATGTCTGACTCTTTGCGACCCCGTGGATTGTAGCCTACTGGGCTCCTCCGTCCATGGGATTCTCCAGGCAAGAATACTGGAGCGGGTTGCCATTTCCTTCTCCAGGGGATCTTCCCAACCCAGGGATCGAACCCAGGTCTCCCGCATTGGAGGCAGACGCTTTAACCTCTAAGCCACCAGGGAAGCCCATCATATAAAATAGTCTTTCACAAAAGTTAAGTGCTACTTTTTGTTAGTAAATGTGACAGGTGTTAGCAAATAAAGCAATGGGAAATAATACGAATCCATAAAAACAATATTACCATAAACTTCTGCTTATGACAGATTTTGCTCTGGCTTCCAAACAAGCAGAAAGATCAACTAGAATTTTTCTTTTTCTGTATCCCATTTTCTAATGTTATGAGATAAGCAATATTATTAAAGGATTTATTCAAAAAAAGCAATTATTTGTATATGCTCTATAATCATGTCAGCCCCATCTCTTGAATCTTTTACATACAAATTATCCTGTAATTATTTTTATAATCATTCTTTAAGTATTCCAAGGTTCTTATGTACAGTATACTCTTAATCATCAAATAAAGGGCTATCTTACATTCAAAATTATTTTAGGATTAAGTGAATACATTGTGCTAAACTCAAACTCTTTTAGAAGACACAGAACTGATTATAAAGAAATATCTTAAAAGAGAATATTTAAATTAGCTAGGACATGGTTGAATCATTCTGGGTAAAAAGTACTTCATCAGATTTTTTTCAGGACCCAATAAGCAACCTAAAAATATCAACCAGCTACTTACCACTAAGAGACTGCTGCCATGCTAAAGCAGAACAAAGTAAGGCTAAGCTTTTCCCACTCCCTGTGGGGCTCTCCAATAAACAGTGCTGCTTACTGTTTAATCCTCTGACAATCTATGAACACAAAAACAACTTTTTTAATCAATAAACAACACACTTCATTAAAGTCTCTCTTCTTTACAACCACCAGAAGTCTAAGTTGCACGCAGTTCAGGGAACATGGCAACAGCAGCAAGAACTAGAATTTAATTAAATCTGGACTGTATTCCTTTATTTGTTGTTGTTTAGTCACTGAGTCGTGTCTGACTCTTTTGCCACACTAGGGACTGCAGCCTACCAGGCTCCTCTGTCCATGGGATTTTCCAGGCAAGAATACTGGAGTGAGCTGTCATTTCCCTTCTCCAGGGATCTTCCCGAACCATGTTTCAAACCCATGTTTCCTGCACTGGCAGGCGGGTTCTTTACCATGGAGCTACCAGGGAAGCCCCTGATTCCTTCATATCTCTCCCTAAAATTATGTTAGACTTAAAGAATATCAAGCACAAAAGAAACAAAAGCAATTGGTGCCTTACTTATGCAAACACCACCATTTCTATAAAACTAGAATACACTAACATCTTCAGTGAAAACTTAATAGAGGACACTGCTGAGAATGTTACAACCACTTTGTGCAGAAATTAAAAATTTCTAGTAAAGTTGAAGATACCCAATTTCATCAATCCAGTCCTAAGGAAATACCTAAAACCTTTCCCAAATGAATACAAGGCAACACGTATAAGTTCATGGCAGCACTGTTTGAAACTGCAAAATAACATAAACAATGTAAACGTCCATCAAGAGGAAAATGGACAAATAAAATTCTAGTATATTAATACAACGGAATAGTATAAGCAATGAAAAGGAGTTATCAATCAATAGGGCTCCATCTTAGGAATAAGCTTAGACAAAGGAACAAGGTCATGAGGAGGGGAGGGCCTGGTATGCTGCCGCCCTTTCTTCTGCCCTCAGACTCTGCGTCGGCCACAGAGCTTCCAACAGTGCTGTGCTGGGACAGAGCAGCAAGGTTCACAACCTCTGTGGTTCACAGGAACCACTGTGACAAGGGTCCAGGGAGGAATCCACCATTTGCAGTGGAAAACAAGTGGCAATTACTAGTTATGATGACTTTGTACTTTGGATCTCAGTTTGTTTCTCCTTTCTTTATAGTAAGACACCAACTGCTTAAAAAATAATCCATGAAACAAACATGAAAAGGAGCATTTAAAAAAAACACCAGTTCTTGAACTCAATATACTAGATATGTCTGTAAAAAAACTTATAGCAGAAATCCTTTTTTTAAGTAATAATAATATTAATCTTAAGAAAAAAAAACACAAAATCAAGTTCTCCAGAAAGCTGAGTACAATATCGTATCACTGTGCAAAGTTTAAAAATACGTAAAGTATATTCAATATTGTTTATGCATACATGTATATGCAATATAAGTATAAAAACATGGCTAGAAGAGAAAAAGAACAAATTCAGGATATTAGTTATCTTCTTACTTGTAAACAAGGTAAAATATGGCAAAACGCTAAGATTCAACAAAGCTGGTATGTTGGTTTTACTCAAATTTGTATAGTAATTTTCTATATGATTGAAATATCTCAAAAAAATTATGGTGAAAAATATAGTATTCTATATAAAAGATAGTAAATACTTTGTATTTCAAAGTAATTCAGTAAAGCAGTAATTCAGTAAATAGAAGTTTCAGATGAGCTGAGAACATTTTTTAGAATGTTCTCCTTTGCCTCCTAATTTTATATATATATATATATATATAGTTTAGCAGCAATCAATATTACTTTTCCAAAGGTTAGAGGTTCTTCAATGAACCCAGCAAATCCATCTACTATCTGCAAAAAATATGTAGTCACAGACTCAATGTATGTTATGAATTATAAGCACCTGTATCTTAAGACTTAACTGCTGAAAAATACTTACAGAATTCATCATAGCAAGCTGTGATGGATAAGCTTTATAAGGAAAGTTAATCTTCACCCCACCAATTGTATATTCAGCTGAAGACATCATGCTTTGTTTACTTCAGATTCCTAACTGCAACAGAAATGAAAGTCAATATTGAAATAAAGCTATTCAAAGGAAAAGAGATACCTAAATCTAAGGCAGAAGCCTAGAAATAAAAATTGGAATAAATGTACAAACAAAACAAATAAAAGTAAAAGAATTTCCTACCCTGACAAATCACAGTGGTTAAAAGCATGTCTTGGAATCTAACAAATCGGGATTTGCATCCCTACTCTGCCAAAGCCGTGGACCAAGAGTTAGGAAGTATAGGTGCTAGATCAGGTTCTGACAACTCAGATATTTTAACCTGATTATGTCTCTTCGCTTTTCTAGACAAAGATTCTTATCTGTGTGTGCTATATGCTCAGTTGTGTTCAAATCTTTGCAACCCTATGGACTGCAGCCTGCCAGGCTCCTCTGTCCACGGGATTTTCCAAGCAAGAATACTGGAGTGAGCTGCCATTTCCTCCTCCATGGAATCTTCCCCAACCAGGGATTGAACCTGGCTCTCTGGTGTCTCCTGCATTGGTAGGCAGGTTCTTTACCACTGAGCCACCTGGAAAGGCCCTCTTACATGTAATAATCCCTAATTTAAAAATTGTTGTAAGGAAGAAAGCACCTCGGGCACATAATAGGCACTCAATAGTTCTTACTTTAAAGGTCAGTAGGGTATAATGGAAAGATGGGTTTTGAAGAAGGGAAAGCCTAAATCTGAATTCCACTGTGAATCACTTAACCTCACAGAGCCTATTTCTTCATCTGTGAGCTATCTGCCTGATAGGGTTTTTATGAATATCAGCCAAGCACTGAGTTAAGAATTAAATAAAATAATGTACAGAATGTGCCTAAACTCCAGTATCTGATACACAGGAAGTGATCTTGTTTAATCCCCACTTCTTGTAAACCATATTCTCTTAACCCGGGATCCACAGTTGTAATTCAAAGATTGTGATCTTTTGATATTGCATGCGACAGTTTCTGTGCATGATTGCATTTTTTTAAAGAGAAAGTCCATAAATCTCTCATTCCCAGAAATATATCCTAAGGAAATAGTGGAAAGTTGAGGAGAAAATTATATACACTGTTATCAACTGAGAAATTATTTGCAGTAGTGAAAAAAGGTCAATTCGATCTGAGGACAGAGAAATGGTTAAAATACCAATTCAACAGATTAGGAAGCCAATAACAACCTTTACCGTAGCTTATTTGTCCCCTAAAAGTTCAGAACCACTATCCTAAGGTATTTTTCAGTTCTAACAATTGGTGTTTCTGTGAAGCGCTGAGAATGAAATTTGGTGGAATCTCATCCCTTCATCTAGGGCTTCCCAGGTGGCGCTAAGGGTAAAGAACCGCCTGCCAATGCAGGAGACAAAAGACACTCAGTTCCATCCCTGGGCTTGGGAAGATCCCCTGGAGGAGCGTAAGGCCACCCATTCCAATATCTGACCTACAGAATCCCTGTGGACAGAGGAGCCTGGTGGGCTGCTGTCCGCGGAGTCGCAAACACAAGTCGGACACGACTGAAGCGACTAAGCAGGCACGGATCCCTTAAACTAAACCAACAACTCTAGACCGGCCCAGTTTCTCACATAGAACCTAAAAACCAACCTCCCCGCCCGCCCCAGTTGTGGCAACAGGTATCTCAAAATAAGGATGCTTCGCCCACCCTGAACAAAGATGAAACCAACCAATCTGGCTCCAGCCGTCGTCCCCTCCCACCAGGAGGGAACGCAGGCTCCGGGGCTAAAAACAGGCCTCTGCCCTAAGCGCAGGTTCCCCACTCCCCAGGTTTTCTTCCTCATATTCCTTCCTCCCTCAGCAACCTGGGACCCCCGAGACCGGGCTGATCCACTCACCACCGAAGGGCCCGCAAGGCGGGTGGACGAGAGCAGAGGGGACCCTCCTCCTGGCCGACGTCGCGCCCTTCCCCTGACACACACTTGCCCGCCCTAAGGAAAACCCAAACAACGCAGAATGGGCTCCGATTTCACCAGAGAAAAGGAAGCCGAAACCGACGAGCAAACACAACGGTGCCCTGGCAGAGAAGAAAGGTTCTAGAACCGCTTCACCTTTTCTCCACTCCAGCTCTCAGCAGCCCTCTCCGCAACACCCGGACGAATTCCCGCCTCCCGCCCCTCAACTCCTAGCACCCAATCGCCGGGCGAGCTCAGACAACCAATCACTCGCCAAGACCAAAACCAAGCAACCAATCATGACTCGAGGTCAGGGGGCGCGCACTCTGGCACCCAATGAAAGCCTCCGCAGTAAGAACGAACCCAAGGTCCGCGGCGGCACCGGAAAGGAAACGCCAGAAGCGTGAAACACTGCGAAGAATCCCAGGGACTTAAGGGAAAATACTCCATCAGCTTCGATGTACTTTTTTGAAACCGGCGACTTAACTTGTGCGTCAGTTTCCTTGGGAACTCCACGTCTCGTATTTAAAGTACGTAGACCAACGGAGAGGAAACACTGTTAAGCCCCTGCTCTTTCAGTATTCATCCGCCCGCCCCCACCCCCAGTTCAAATTTCCGAACTTTCCGGAAGCCAGAGTAAAGACCCAGGCGGGAATTGCCAGACTGCTGAGCCAAACTAGGCGAGGTTGGATGACAGCTAGCTACAAAACCTCCTGATAATCAAGGCTTTCCTGGGTCCACGTTCAACCAGAGATATGCTCTCCAGGTCTCCAGTACCTCATTTAAGGCTTATCAGCCTCCTATCCCTCCTAAGACCAATTAGGAAAATTGCTAAGAAAGCACACTTTTCTCAAAGGTAGGGAGAGTTAAACACCATCTCGCCAAATTTTTTAACTCTAGCGTAAACTTGGCTTAAAATACTAGTGTTTCAAAAAGCAAAACCAGAGACAGTTTCTCACATCCCATGAAACCAATTTGGGAGAGAGGTTTGCTGCAGGCAAGCATGTATGCATGCATGCTAAGACGCTTCAGTTGTGCTGACTCTTTGCAACCCCATGGACTGTAGCCCGCCAGGCTCATCTGTCCATGGGACTACCCCAGCAAGAGTATTTTGCAGGAAGGAGCAGTGAAAGGCGAGTTGATTCGTTTGCCTCCCTTTGTTTTACTACATCTTCCCCAAATGACAAAACTTAGTCATAAGACTAAATTCTGCCCTTTGCAAATTCAGGCTCAGAAATTTATCCTTTAAAAGTTATCAAGGACTTCAGTGGTGGTCCAGTGGTTAAGAATCTGCCTGCGTGTTACAGAAACTGAAAAACTTTTGACAAAGCACTGCCAATGCAGGAGACATGGGTTGGATCCCTGATCCAGGGAACTCTGACCCCACATATAAGGGAGGAACTAAGCGGGCAAGCCACAGTAACTGAGCCCTGGCTTCAACTAAGACGTGAGGGAGCCAAAAATAAATATTTTTTTTAAAAGTAATCTAAAAGAAAAGTAATAATACCTCAATTGATAATAGTGCCTATTCTAATACTGAAAAATAACCATATACGTCCCAGTCTAGTACTAATGTGCTAAGTCGCTTCAGTCATGTCCGACTCTTTGTGACCCCATGGACTGTAGTCCCCAGGTTCCTCTGTCCGTGGAATTTTCCAGGCACGAATACGGTAGTGGGTTGCCATTTCCTCCTCCAGGGGAATCTTCCCAACCCAGAGATAGAACCTGCATCTCTTACATCTCCTGCACTGGCACCCAAGGTCTCTACCACTAGCTCCACCTGGGAAGTCCCAGTACCTATAGGGGGATGGTTATATCAATTCAATCATTATGGAGTCAATAAAATAATTATAAAAACCAAACAACTTGCAAAAAGTTTCCATATAAAGTTAAATGAAAGAAGACAAATGCCAAACTGGGTATTATGGGTTCCACTACATAAAAATACATGTGCATAAGCAAAGATGAAGGGAAATTACCACAAAGATGTCATTTATTAAGTCAACAGTAAGGGGGATAATTTATAAAATAAACCCTTAAAAATACCTTCAAATTATGTCTGCTTTTACAAAATTTTTAAAATATTAAAATCTTCTAAGTACTGATAATTACTCCCAGAGTAACTAGTATGATTTTCCTCTCGTAAGTTCCTAAGGCTGTCAACTGACTCTCACCTTGTATTGCCCTTTGATGTTCACAGCATAACAGAATGGGGTACACAAGCTCTGGAACCACAGAGTCCTGGATTCCAGTCCCTTGAATGGTTCCTTTCAGGTTAATAGCGGTGAAATGAAACACAAAAAACTACAAGTTCATTTGATAAAGAATATGAATGTTTATAAACCAATATTCAAAATAGCTGCACACATCTTTTCTTCACTTGAATTTAAAAAAAATCACGTTGTGACAAATTTTATAACCTTAACTTAAAATACATGAATATTAACATTTACTAATATTTACATATTTTATTTACATCATCAACAAACCTGATGAAAAACAGCATTTGTTATTATTTTTAACACAGCAGGTTTTGACCAGTCTTTGAAAATCGATCCAGGAATGTGCACTGCATTTAGTTAGAAAACATTTCAATCTTTTCTGACTCCTAGAGGTTACCTACACACACAAAATATTCCAAAACTTCAGTTTAAACAAAAGGAAGCAAACAGGAGCAGTTGTATTGAATCTTAAAAGACTATAAAACTGCCTTGTTTAAAAATATGCAAGTTCTTAGTTTGTTTTTAAGTGTATGCTTTTGTTTTTTGCATCAAAATTATTTAATTGAACTTTAAGCATCTAATAAAAGTTATAAATATTCTCATCTATGATACCGTGCATGAGATTTGAAACAGATACAAATTACTTCTTATGTAATACCCTTTTGAGGTAGGGCCAGTAGTAATTCCATTTTACAAAGAAGGAAAATGAAATGTGACTATTTCCTAGTGAAAAGGCTAAAATTAAATTTCTTTTCTTAAAAACCACACTTTATTAGCCTTCCTGATTTCTTTTATAAGTGAAGAGGTCTGTCTCAAGTGGGGTGGGAAAGAGGGGTTCATTCAGGTATTTCTCAGAAAGCAGAGAGAAGCACCTTCTGCACTGGATGCTTCATTAAGGAAAGATGCGGATGAGGGGCTAACTGGATGCATCTACCTCATCAGTGGACACTACTAACAGAGGACTGCAAAAGCCTTCCACAACACAGAATTTTTCCCGTCTTAATTTTTCCTGAGGTCCAAACACTGCAGATCAGTTCAAAATCTTCTCAAATGATGATGTGAATTATAGTCCTGTTGACAAACCGAGTTCTTCAATCCAGTGGGTTTTATTGCTCTAAACTTCAATGAGATTCCAATGGATTTACCTCCTCTGACCATTATAAAAATAAACTTTAAAAAAAACTAAATGAGACCTCTTTTCAGGTTAGTCTCTGCACAAAGATGTTTCTGTAAACTCTTTTAAGCCAGTATCTTAAAATTCCAAATTATTCAAGTATCTCTTTAAACATATGGCTTCATATATTAGTAAAAATTGAAGCAAATAAGTAAAATCTTTAAATCCTTATCTGTAAGTCCATGGAAGTCATTTACAAAAAGCTGTTTGCCTTTTTTAAAGCCCTTCTCAATACTGTTTCTTGAGAACTGGAATTCCATCTTGCTATTGCTATTCCATTCATTACTATTATTACTTGCATTGCAAGTTTTAAAGATTCCTATTGTTTAAAACTCCTAATTTTCCCTCAATACCCCCTTCCCTTTTTCTCTCTCTCATCACTGCATCACTGTACTGTTACTAGCTGATGGTTAAACATTGGGGCTATCCACGGACTTATTAATAAGATATTAAATTAAAGGCATGGCAGTTTTTCTTCACTTCAAAAGCTTAATACAAGACCATATTCACTTTTTCAGTAATGAGTTTCTTAAATGTGCTGCCAACAGAAAAAGAAAAGCTCAGTTGCTACAAAAAAACATACCAGCAAAGTAGATCCAAAGAACTGCCAATCAAATACAAGCAAGCAAAATTCTCAAGAGAGTCCTAAAGTGTATTCATGTTGAATTTAATCATTTTAGTGATTCCAAGATGTTTCTGTTCCCATTCAGTTTAGTTGTTATAAGATGCATGTTCGTGTTGGGTATATGCAGCAAACAGCTTCATTTTTTAGTTTTACGTTTGTTCTTTGTTAAATTCCACTAACACTCATGTTTATTATTTCAATTACTGTGCTTTCAATACAATGACAGAGCTGTACATCAGGATCCATGCTTCCAGTGTCCCCAGGTCCATTTTTATAAGACGGATCTTTACTGAGTCCAGACCATCCACCTGGTTTCTCCTTTATTTGTTGAAGACCTAAAAACATAAGGAAGAATAATTAAGGGAAGAAATCTGGAAAGGATTTGGGCCTTTCTGCCTGAAGTATTTAAACAACTCTTGAAAAGAAGTTACTACTTACGTGTAATAATTGGATCAATGTCTCTTGTCTGAGTGGCAACGTCAGAGGCACAAACTTGCCCTATTTGGATCAGCAAAGACATAATATCCTCATACAGTGGAGGAAACGCTCGACAAAAAGAGACCAAACTTGGCAGAGTTGGCATGAAAAAAGCATATCGCTTAGCCTGTGTTAAAACTGTTGGAAAGAAATGAAACAGAATTTTCACAGATATAAATTCAACATGCATGGCCTATATAGTATACTAAGCACTATGCTCTGTGCTGAGAACACTAAGTTTTCTAAGATACAGCCAGCCCCTGCCTTCAGGGAGCTCACAATCTAGCAGTCAACCATTATCTACCACATAAACGCTTATGTCCAAGCACTATTATAGGTGCATGACATACACTGTTTCATTTAAATCTCACAATATTATAAATGAAAAAGTATCTTTATGATACTTATTTAATATGTAAGAAAACTCTTAAATAAACCTTACATTAAGAAGCTGTTCAAGTCCAGTTAGCAGTGGGGTGGAAAGACAACTCAGGCAGTTTAAGTTCTTAACCACTATAAATAGTATAACATGAAGTGGATATGATGGAAAGAAAAATGAATAAATTATTATGAGAGCACCAAGAAAGAATATGAAACTGACTGAGACCTTAACTTTTAAAGATTGAATTATAGTTCATATCTTTTAAAACAGTGTATTTTCATTCCATTTTACTTAACAACCTGGAAGATGGTTAAAATGCTGGTGTATGTTTCAGAACTTAAGGAAACAATTAATATATTAATCTCTTATTTATACAGATGATTATATTTTTCTGGAAGTCTAAGCATTTGCAATAAATTATAACTTGTTTTCTAATGACATAATTACATTCAGAAAGCAGACCTGATTTCCACTTACAAAATTTGTAATGCTTAGTATATTTACTGTAAATCTATGTATAGTCATTCTCAAAAACGAAAGATACAACTTGCCTACCTAATCATCCCCTCTATACTATACATCACATTTGTCACAGAGAAGTTTTCAAAAAGAATAACTCAAAATTATTGCATAAATTAAACTACCACTGATGCAGAAAACATGGTGTGAGTAAATTCAGAAAAAACACGTACTACTTTATGGTAGACATCTTTGTTATTGATGCCCATGAGATACACACCTGTCAGCAAAGTTCCCATGACATTGACAGCTAAGCGAGCCACACTCAGTGACTTTGGTAATGCATACTGGATACACAAGTGAGAAAGCAACTGGATAGCAAATATCTGTAACACAAAATCCAAAGATTACAAGTTTCTGAAGAAGGTCTTTGTGTGCGTATGTGCCTGCTAAGTTGCTTCAGTCATGTCTGACTCTTTGAAACCCTTTGGACGCACCCTGCCAGGTCCTCTGTCCATGGGATTTTCCAGATAAGAATACGGGAGTGGGTTGCCATGCCCTTTTCTAGCGGATCTTCCCAACCCAAGGATCAAACCCGCATCTTTATGTCTCTTGCATTAGCAGGCAGTTTCTTTACCACTAGCACCATCTGGGAAGCCTAAAGAAAGTCTTTTAAGTATTAAAAACTGTAAAATGGTTTATATAACCAGGAAGATTAAAGAACGGTCAAAATTGTCCTAAAGTTCCAAAATACTCATTACCTGTTTTTCAAGTTCTGGTTGTGCAATTAGCTCAGGTATGAAATCCAGACAGATGTGCATAGACGGAATACCAGCGACCGTCAGAGGCAAGAGTTCACATGGGTAACCCTATCTCAACAAGGAAGGGGGGGGGAGTTAGAAATAAAATAAGTCAAGACAGATACAAATACAAAGGAAGGTTTCACTTCCTTGATGTAACAGTTGCTCAGAAGGCTACAATGCCCTCCATGTTTCCTGGCATTTCACGTCTCTGATGCACTAAAATAGAGATAAATTATACAAACACTTTATCAGGCTAAAATCAAATTTTTAAAAATCTTGATTTTTCTCCATATTGCAAAGAACCATGATCATTTGCATGACTTCCAGTTTCTAAATGATCCTATTAATTCAGCAATTCACAACTACCCCCCAAAACAAAGTTCAACCAAAAGGTATCATTCTTTGAAACCAGACCTGAAAGTGAACAAGTTTAGCAATGTTGGGATCTGCGATGTACATTTGGTGCAACAGGCAACAGATAAGGCACTGAACTTCTCGAAGGTTACAGAGCAAATTGTCTTCTCCTTCCTCCATTCCCTTATTTGGAGTGCTGGCGGTAATAACACTTTGAACATTCTTTAGCAAGCTGTCTGGATTGACCCCCTTTGCCTTCTCCTCTTCAGTAGGTAAGCAGATCTCCAAGAGAATCTGGACTGCTGCACTATCCTACAAACAAATAAAACACAGAGAAGTGAAGAAGTTTCTGAGAAGTCTGATTTGTTTTCACATAAACTGATGTGATAAAAACAAATAACTCTTTCTTCAAAGAACAAACAGCAAAAGTGAACAATCTGTACGCCAGCGGTTCTCAGCTTTTTTAGGGCCATGAACCCTTTTAAGAATCTGAAGGAGGACTTCCCCGGTGGCACAGTGGATCAGAATCTGTCAATGCAGGGGACACGGGTCCAAACCCGGGTCCAGGAAGATGCCACATGCGGCAGAGAAACGAAGCCCCTGGGCCCCAGCTCCGGGCCCGCCGTGCCTAGAGCCTGTGCTGCGCAGCCAGGGAAGCCACCGCAACGAACAGTGGCCCATCACCACAACTAGAGAAGTCTCGCACGCGGCAGTGAAGGTCCAGTGCAGCTAAAAATGAGTAAATAAATCAAATTAAATTTTAAAAAATCTGAAGGAAGCTAATGCCACCCTCTTAGCATAAAAAGTTAACATATGGCATAATTTCAAAATGCTCACACATCTCCAGTGATGATCCACGGACTCCAGTTTACTACAAGAGTATTCTAATTCAGTATCATCCAAAATGGACCCCAGACAAAAAGTGACTTCTACCAGAATCTCTTTTTCCTTCCTCTTAAATTCTTACTTCGCCCAGGATGTCTTGTATTCCTCTTTTTTTCCTCACCTCTGAAGATGGTGGTTAATAATAAATGTCTAAAAGCCACTCCCCTAAGCTTTTCTCCCTTTTAATTTGAAGATGGACTTTTTAAGGCTCAGGAAAGACTCTGCTTCACCATCCATTCCATCTGTACAACTCATGTTGCTCAGTCCACAAGCCTGTGTGTCATTTCACAGAAAAGCAGCTTCTTGAGGGGCGATCTATTTAATGGCCCTACCTATGAGGGAGAGCTATAATCACTCTTACCTAGCAGCAAGGAAGAAAAGAAAATGAATACATAACATGCATCTCTGAAACACAGCTACTGCCTAGGATAGAAGAAGACAATTACTCCATCTAACTGAGTAAGAACCTGATTATAAACTAAGGTTAGCCTTACATTACAATCATTTATAAAGTAAACTTTACAATCATTCTTGAGGGGGTTTGGGTTATTACTGTTCTGCATTATTTTCGTTTATACACTCTGGAGCCAGCCTGCCCAAGCTCGAATCCTATTAATAGCTTCCCTACTTACTAAATATATAACCTTGAGCATGTCATTTAACCTCTTTGAATCTCATTTTCTTACTCTGCAAAAGTGGAGATAATACTCCATTAACTTCTAGGTTGGTTGTAAAGATTAAATGAGTTAATACATATAAAAAACACAAAATAGCATCCACCATATAATAAGCATTATATAAATGGTAGCCATTACCATCCTCAATCACTTCTCTGAAACTCTGGGTGTCAGATTTATCTTAGAACTCAGATTTTTTTTTCTGTAATGTAATATAATACCCACAGCAGAGACTAAGACAGTGTACTGTAATCAAATATATTAATATTTCTGCAGCAAAACATACCAATTTTCATAGTAAGTGGGATAAGGGCCACAAATAGCTTCACATTAATTCAGGTCAAGTTTTGTCACAAACGAGGTCATATCAGGTCAGGTTTTTCTGCCAACTGATCACCAGAAAAAATGCTTCAGTTTTCATAGCTTTTTTGGATTTCCGTATCGCAGATAAGGGATTGTGGATCTGTATTATTACTCTAATTCTCCTTATTGCCAATGAAAAATTTTCAGAAAATATTTCAAAGTAAGAAAACATTACTACTATGTAGACCTCTAACTGCTTAACATTCAACCATCTCACATGTCCTGCAAAAATTACTACCTAAGGCTTTAATAAATTCTACTTTGTTAAAAACCTTTTCTAAATGGAACATTAACTTATGCTGTCATAGTATTTATCACTGCCTGACATTTTATTACATATATATACTTCTTGTCTGTCTCTACCATTTGTTTTTTTCCTCCATCATTTGATTTTAAGAAACAAAAGTCTTGTATTTTATTAAAATGTAAATCTCACTAAAATGGCTATTAAATAAATATCATGAAGATTATTCCTGATTTTAATAATAAAGTCCATCTGATATTTAGAAGCAAAGGTAACCCCATTGTAAGTTCAGTAATAAAAGAGATATACAATATGTTACCACTGTATTTAGAAGGCCATCTATTTAACAGGGAAGCCTTTGCCCTTTTTGATTAGATTTTACTTTATTACCTGAGCAGCCAGTAATGCATTTTTCAGTTCTTCTCTGGTAACTTCTGGGCCATCAGTTTGTCCAATTAAACCTATCGTATTATTCTGAGAAGGCCTATCTTGCTCTGCTGTTTCCTTCAGATGAGCACTAAGGTAGGCTTTGGATGCCAGAAGATACCCATTCAACATGTGCAGAGTAATATCCATCAGTGGGGGACATCTACACAAAGGAAGAAGAAAAGAAAAAAATACATGAGAACAAATATAAATTATTAAATTAGCCACAACATGATCAATCAGCTTATATAATTAGAAAAACCTGAACAGTACCTGAAAACCTAAAGAGCAGGAAAGTTACACTTTTCCCACTGAAATATTCATTCTCAAAATGAAAGCTTAACACATGTAATTCTCTATACTTTTGTATGAAAAGTATTATCTATTTCACTTCATCAGCTAAAACCAAATATAATGTATGACCTAGAAAAAAAGGCATTCTTTTTTATAAAATAATGGCACTACCAATAAATCTCTTAGCTATGAATCTGCAAGGCAACAGTCCTCAAAAGGGCAATAGTCTAATGTACCTAATTTTATATTTAAAATAGATAACCAACAAGGACCTACTGTATAGCACAGGGAATGCTGCTCAGTAATCTGCAATAACCTAAATGAGAAAAGACTTTGAAAATGAATAGATGCATGTGTAACTGAATCACTTGGCTGTACACCTGAAACTAACACAACATTGTGAATCAACTGTGCTCCAACATGAAATAAAAATGTTTTACAAGGAGAGGAACAGTCAATTATTGATAAGATGAGGCAGATTAGATATCCATTCTTTCTACTACTGTTTATTCTTTGGAGCAAGACAATTCTGTATTTCAAGAACACTTCAACCACTCGATGGTAAGTTATTTACCAAGCCCTAGTTTCCTCAACTAAAAAATATTCATTCCTCAAAAACTGTTACAAATTAAGGTTAAATGAGATAAGAATAGACGTAACAATTACATGTAAAAAAGGAAACCAAAAGATACATCAGTAACCACTAAAATATTAAAAAGTCAAACCCTTAGAAAGACTTGAGAATGCCACTTCCCAGCCTGTCACAACTGAGCATGTGTGCACAGAGGCAGTAGAGCTTTGTTTTTAAAAAACCTGTGAAACACCGCAAACAGCTTAAATGTCCATCAACATGTCAATGGTTTTTCTGAAATGTTCAAATTTTCTATAATAAAAATGCATGTATTAACAGTGAAAAAAATAATATCAATGGTTAAATAAGCCATGGCAATGTTCCCAAAACTGAACTATTTATTTTTTAAAAAGTCCTAAACTCCACCAGCCATTCTGATCAGAGTTTCTGGAGGTCAGGCATATATAATATGGAATACTAATGGAATACTAATCTATATATGGAATACTATGCAGCACTTAAAACAATAAGAAGGAGGAGCTATGCAAACTCATATGGAAAACATGTTGAAAATGGTAGGTTTTTTAAAAATAAATAAATAAACCATTTAATTTTTTAAAACAACCCAAAACAAAAAAGTAAATACTTCTATTTATAAATTTGCAAATGCTTGGAAAGTGAAGCTCCTAACACACCATTACGACAATAAAGTTCCTTCTGGAGATGAAATTGGGATTAGTCAAGAGGACAAAGAGGAATTCTCCTCTAAAAATGTCATGATAGACAGGAGAGAACACGACTTTTCAATGTACACCTTTCTCTTCTTATTAATCTACTTGTTTTTGTACTTTTTAATATATATTGTGAAAACTTTCATGTATACATTAAAAAAGGGAATATTTTAATGAACCTAAGAACCCATCAGCCAGCCAGCAACAGTTATCTACATATCACATGGCTTACTCAGACTCCCCCTCCCCCCCCATCCATTTTACCTACCCTCAACCACTGATTAGTTCAAAGAAAATCCAAAATGTCATATCTCTTTATATTGTTTATGTTTAAAAACCATCTGAATGACCACTTGATGAGTTAAACTTTAGTGTACCTATGTGGAATACTACCTAGCCAACTAATATAAGAATATCTATTAACATGAGAAAAAGTTAAACAAGTTACTGAGTGAAAGATCCAGACTACAAAAACATGTCATATGTTATAGTAGCATAAATTAACAACTTCCTGAACAACTGGAGGTGATTTAGGTGAAAAGTTAAGTGGATTTTTAGCAATGGTAAATTGTTTTAGAAGTGGTTCTTCTCTAGAAGTGTTCTTTACTCTTGTTTCCTTTTTAAGTATCCATATATAGATACTTAATATCATTTATATTGTTTACTCTTCTGACTCCTCATCCCTCTGAGACCTTGATCTTACCAAACTGTATCTGATTTATTCTGCAGATGTTGTCACTTCAAGAATGTCATCCCCAGGATTAAAGACAGATGAGTATGTTAGACTGTACCCTAGTTAGTCTTCTTTACTCCAGCCTCTTCCCCCTCTAAGTCATCTAGCATGAACTTTCTCTTCTCAAGTTACCAACTAAATGATCTCCTAAGCCTAACACTCAACGCCCTCAAGAGTCTGACCTTAACCTAACATGCAGCTCTCAAGTGTGCGCTCAAAAATTCAGCCATCCACTCAAGCCTTTTTCCCACTGGCTTTTATACTTTTGCTCACACTATTCTTTTTCTCAAGATACCTTTTTTGACTGTTAACACCCCATCGTTACAGTTTCTGTTCATCTAAACTCTATTTCTATTCTTCAAAACAGAACTTTGATTTCCTCCTAAAACTTTTAACAGCATTCATTTACTATACCATTCATCTGCATGTGACCATACTATTTAACTTTTCAGGTATGGGTTTTATTTCCCCATACAGGTGATAATCACTTTAAAGGAAGACCCCTCAACTTGTATATCTTTGCTATTATTTAGCAAAATAAATATATATCTTTGCTATTATTTAGCAAAATAATATTTTGCTAAATAATGTTAAAACTGAGCAATTAGAAATTCAAATATTAATGATGAGGACTAATTAATTCCACCTCTTGAGGTGAAGTTACTTCAAAGAAACTGCTTAAGTTCAGCCACTGGGCAAGGACTTATACACAAACATGGAATAAATGAACATAACCTCACAACTGAGGATTCCAAAAAGATCACAATTTTAATGCATGCAATAGTTCACAATAAACCAATTTTTTAAAAGGTTTTTTCAACAATGCTAGCAGAAACAATATTATTTTTCACTATCTTGACTCTGAAAGAATAGCTACTATTGAGGGCCGTGAAAACCAAGGATGATATTTTCTTAAAGCTAGTATTGTTAATCACATATTAAATATTAAAGTGAAGTTCATGAATATAGACAACAACAACAAAAAACAACCAAAAGCAAAAACCTCACAGGTCATACTGCCAGGTTATCTGCAAGCACACTAAGATATAAGTTTAAACTGAATGTTTTCAATTTCCTTTGACTCTCCAAAGCATAAACTCTATAGTAGAAATGAAACTCAACACATACCTGTATACCCTCTGATCACATCTTAGCACAATGAGAGGATCTATCATCAGGTCATTCTGAGTATACTTTTGCTGTCGTACAAACGTTATTGATGGTTGAAGTGCGTTAACTGTCATTACCCACAGCCTGATGAGAAAATAATCACATGTTCAAAAACAGCTATATCATAATTGAAACCTGTAGCCAGGTTAGAAAGCTACATTCAGGGAAAAAAATCAGAACAGGTATAAATGAACTTGGGAAAATTAAAAACTATTAAAAAATCTCATCTATCATTATGTTTCTAAAACAAATGAAAGTAGTTTCAAAAATCTTCACAGTTCTAATGGAATAATCACCACATATAAAATGAACATTTGAATTAAAACCTCAGTTATACCATACTTGCTATATGACTGTATAAGTCATGGAGATCCCTGAACTTATTTCTCCTCTGTAAGATATGAAAATACCTATAAATGAAACGATATCCACCAAAGCACTTTGAAGCTATAACTGGCCCCATAAATTGTCACTGTTCTATATTTATCACCAGAGACTCTCAATGTGAGATGCCACTATGAGATTAGACATCAATATCCATAAAAGTGGTTACTACCCTAACTATGCCAACAGAGTTACTGAGAGATATGCAATATGGAGGGTATCTGATCTCTCACAGTGAAGGCCAGGAAGCCACCAGCCCTCGCACACAGAGCTTGCCCACTCTTAAACACGAGTGGGTAGCCAATGGTCATCAGACATCAAAGAAAGCTCCTAATTTGAAAAAGAGTAAAATATACAAACAGAAAGAGGGAATGCCAAAGAAACAGAGAATGTAGGGATAAGAAGAAAAAAATTCTTAAATGTATAATTTCCTTAAAGTATGGAATATTTCATATGAGACAAGAACAGAAAACAATTAGAGATTTTCAAATAAGAGTTCTTAGAAATTAAAACTATAACAGGAATATTTTAAATTCAAAGGAAAGAGCAAAAGATAACATACAGAAAACATCTAGAAAATGTATTCAAAAGATAAATTTAAAAATAGAGGGGAACCATTCTCCTTTTCTTGTTTCTACTTGAGCTTAGTCTCTGGTACTGCCATGCAGACTAAAGCAAGTAGAACCAAGAAAACAATTTTACCTTATCCAGTAATTTTTGGAGGTCTTGTGAGGTTAAACAAGACCAATAAAAAATAAATAAATAAATAAAATAAAAATAGAGGGAAAAGAGGAGAAAAATCAGAGTAGGTCAAAGAGGTTTAAAACCCAAACTGCAAAAAAATTCCAGAAAACAGACAAAGAGAAATTATTGGGGGGGAAAAAAAATATATATATATATATGAAATGTACCAGCATTAGTCCCAGATGTAAAAAAAAAAAAAGGCCAACCAAGTGCCCAGGACCACAAATTTTAAAAGTTGCTGATGCTGTTTAGCTGCTAAGTCATGTCCAATTCTTTTGCAACCTTGTGACCTAAAGCCCACCAGATTCCTCTGTCCGTGGGACTTCCCAGGCAAGAATACTGCAGTGGGTTGTCATTTCCTTCTTCAGCGGATCTTCCTGACCCAGGATTTAACCCATGTCTCCTGCATTGGCAGGTGGATTCTTTATCACTGAGCCACCAGGGAAGCCCACAAATTAAAAAAGAACCACATCAAAAGGTATCATCATGAAACTGCAGAAACAGTGAAAAAGAACCTAAAACCTTTAAGAGAGAAAAAACAACGGTCACATACAAAGGACTGCGAGGTAGTAAATGAGGTTAATCAATAGCAATCAGGAAAGCTCTACTTACTTCAACAGAATAAAGCCTTCAAGTTGCTAAGAGGAAAAATAAGCTAGAATTCTACACCAAGGCTAAATATCAATCGTATGTGAGAGGAAGAATAAATACCTTCTCACACATGAAAACCTCAAAGAAAAAAAAAAAAGTTTCCCAAACAACCTTTCTCAGGAAGTCACTTGAGTATGAGTTCCACTCCTAAGGAACTAAACCAAGAAGGAGAAAAACATGGAACTGAACCAAAGAGAAAGCATTCCAGATGGCTACTGTGGATGTCTCGGATTGAAAGCTCTGAAAGGAAGGTTTCCAAGGAAAAATGTTACAGATATGTTATCTGGTATGTTACAACTGTTATGTAAATTTCTACTCAACAATATAGTTTGAAAGTGAATCCGTTATTAATACAGAAAAAAAAAAAAAAACCCTAAACAAACAGACACGAGGCAAACAACTCAAGGTTTGTATGTGGGGTGCAGAGGAGGACAGTTGTATAAGAGAGAGATTATAATCACAGGTTATCATATACATCAACTAAAGTAACACTTAGGTACTCATAAGAAGGCATTCCTAAATTAACAATGCAAAGTAGAGGAAAACAATAGAATGGGAAAGACTAGAGGTCTCTTCAAGAAAATTGGAGATACCAAAGAAACATTTCATGTCAGGATGAGTACAAAACAGGACAGAATGGGTAAGGATCTAACAGAAGCAGAAGAGATTAAGAAGAGATGGCAAGAATACACAGAAGAAACTATACAAAAAAGGTCTTAATGACCCAGATAACCATGATGGTTTGGTCATTCACCTAGAGCCAGTCATCCTGGAGTGTGAAATAAAGTAGGCCTTAGGAAGCACTACTTATGCAAAAAGCTAGTGGAAGTGATGGAATTCCAGGTGAGCTATTTCAGATCCTAAAAGATGAGTCTCTTAGAGTGCTGCAAACAATATGCCAACAAATTTGGAAAACTCAGTTGTGGCCATAAGACTGGAAAAGGTCAGTTTTTACTCCAATCCCAAAGAAAGGCAATTCCAAATAATGTTCAAACTACCACACAACTGCACTCTCTTCACATGCTAGCAAAGTAATGCTCAAAATTCTCCTCAATAGTACACGAACCAACAACTTTCAGATGTTCAAGCTGGATTTACAAAAGGCAGAAGAACCAGAGATCAAATTGCCAACGTCCACNATTTTTAGTTTTTTGAAAAATCTCCATACTGTTTTGCACAGGGGTTGAACCACCTTACATTCCCACCAACAGTGTAGGAGGGTTCCCTCTTCTTCACACCCACTCCAGCATTTGTTATTTGTAGACTTTGGATGATGGCTGTTCTGACTGGTGTTAGGTGGGACCAGCCATGACAGTTTTTAAAGGGACAAAGGGGAGAGACTCTCAGTAAATGATCAAGGCAGGCGGTTGGGTTCTGTATCATTCTCCGTTGGGTGCGGACTGGCTGACTCTTCAGATGGTATATTACTTGTGTGATCTGCCTGTAGGATCTGCCTTGGGGGCTCCTGGAAGTAGAAAGCTAGTCATTCTTTAACTACTTAGCTCTTCATTCTTACTACTTTTAATCTGGGAAAAGAATCTACAGGTTAGGCAATACATGGTGTACTTCAGGAAAGCATTAAGCCAGGAATTAGGTTAAATTGCTGCGTGATCTCATTCGTAAAACAAATAGGCAAACAGAAAAGTGCCAAAAAGCTGCTTACAAATCCCCACTTGTCCAACATCATTTCATATCTATGGGATTAGGGAGAAGAGTCCGTCTTCTATAACTTCTTCCTGCTGACATAGGGTTTTAGGAATATTTAATTTTATAAGCTCTTAGTGTTCTAGAAAGCTTATTGAGAATAGAGATCTTTTAAGGAATTTAATAAATTAATTTGGCAAAGCCATCCAGAAGAAGAAAATAGTGTATATACATACCATACATATAAAAACGTGTACGTAAGGGACCCAAGTACATAAGGGCTTCCCTGGTGGCTCAGATGATAAAAAGAATCTACCTGCAATGCAGGAGACCTGGGTTTGAGCCCTGGGTTGGGAAGATCCCCTGGAGAAGGGAATGGCAACCCACTCCAGTATTCTTTCCTGGAAAATTCCTTGGCCAGAGGACCTGCCTGGTGGGCTACAGTCCATCGGATTGCAGAGTTGGACACGACTGAGTGACTAACACTTACTTACAAATGCAGACATTATAGCAAAGACTATCGTAGTAACACTAAACTCGCTAGTGTATGTAAAAGCTTGTTTTCCTCTTGGCCTCGCTGCTGCTGCTGCTAAGTCGCTTCAGTCGTGTCCGACTCTGTGCGACCCCATAGACGGCAGCCCACCAGGCTCTGCCGTCCCCAGGATTCTCCAGGCAAGAACACTAGAGTGGGCTGCCATTTCCTTCTCCAATGCATGAAAGTGAAAAGTGAAAATGAAGTCTCTCAGTGGTGTCCGACCCTTAGCGACCCCATGGACTGCAGCCTAACAGGCTCCTCCGTCCATGGGATTTTCCAGGCAAGAGTACTGAAGTGGGGTGCCGTTGCCTTCTCCGGTTATTAATTTGGTATAAGTAAAAATCAAATTTAAAATGTATAGATATTCTCAGACCTACTTAGTCAAAATCTCAGGTAAATCCAGCCCAATATTTTTTTTAGACCTGACCAAGTGTTTCTGATGCAGTCTATGGACCACCAGAGACCTATGTGACTAAAGACAAAATAATGAACCCAGCATACCACTCTGATTTAATTAGCATGGCATATAACCTGGGCATCAGGAGTTTAGAAAGCTCTCTGGGAGATTTCAGTGTACAGCAAACTCTGGAACCACTGCATTGATGCAAGACACAATGGTAATCTACATCACAATTAGGCACAAATGACTACAACTCCCTTTCAAAGAACTTTCTCAAGTTGGAAATACTCGAAGGTTTCTGTGTTAAGATAAAATATACTATTTTCCTTAAGAGATATAACAGCCCTTTAATCAGTAGTCTTCAGAAAGGATTTATATTATCAAAAAGTTTTTTTTTAACAATTTTTTTCAACATTTCAACTTAAGTTACTGTTGTCACTGCTATACACTTATCTATTACATGTAACAGGGCGTTGAAATTACCTCCTAGGCATCACAGTATTCAGAACCATCCAGAGTTTATTGACTGTTTGAAGAATTCGCCGTGGAACCCCTGAATTCAACAGCTGATGCATGTTGGATGTTAATACTTCTGCATATGGTATAAGCTCACTGGCAGAAAGCAGAGTCAAGTGTTCTAGAATCTGCATCACTTGCGTGTGACTTACTGGGACAGCTGAAAACGCTAAAAGGAAAACTGCCGTCACAATCTCAGCACTACACAGCTTACCAAATGGAAAGCAAATATTGCTCTGTCACACTATAGGCCAAACAAATCAAGAAAACAATATTGCTTTAAAGAAAGTAAAACTTTCAATCCTAGCCATAGTTGTGGGGACACTTAAAATTAGGCCCTTAAGAAAAATTCATGTTAAAGTGCAGTTATTTCATAAAGAACAACAACAACAAATCTCATCCTAAAAATCACAGTCGTGACAATGACAGAAAGACAATGATTTGCACTGATTTTAAAAACTGGCTGACCACAAAAATATACCCAAGTATTGCTTTTGGTATTAACATTCATTCGAAAAATTCAAATTTCTTGACACCTCCCTTCAGGTAGCCCTTTATGGACTGTAAGCAGCTGTTAATAAAAAAATATCCAGAACTGTGATCCTTCAATAGAATGGTCACTAAGCACTTTTGGCTACTGAGCATTTGAAACGTGACTAGTATAAAACGAGATGTGCTGCAAGTTTAAAACACACAGACTTAGTATGGAAAACCACTAAAATATCTAACAGTTTTTATATTGATTACATGATGAAATGATAATACATTAGATATACTGGGTTATATGAAATAATTATTTAAATTAATTTTGCTTTTTTTCTGACACTTTGAATGTGGCAAATTATATAGAAAGTTTACAGTTGTATGCGTAGCTCACATCCTATTTCTATTTGACAGTGCTGACCTAGACCATTATCCATGAACAGCAAATACATTGTTTTCTATTCCGTGGCACTTATTTATTTTTATATATATATTTATTCATTTTTAACTGATTGATGATTGTTTTGCAATTCTGGTTTGATTTCTGTCATACATCCACATCATGGCACTTATTTCTGACCGGTTTTAAGACCTTCCTAAACCATATGACCTGTTTATTGATATAATGTAGACCCTATGAGGAAACAGATGCAAGCATGTCAGAAAAAAGAAAAAGGGTTAAAAATCCTTACACTCAAAGAGAATTACTTTATATAGTCACCAAAACACTGCTCTATCTCCAGGAAAATTCTGCATGATTCTAAGATTTCAATGGAGCTAACATCTCTCTGTACTATTAAAGGGGTAAAAGGAGTTATCAGTTTACTATACCTTCTTGAAGTTGTTTAGGAGAGTGGTTTTTGGCATTATTAGTCAGAAGCATTCTCCTTAACAGGGCATCTGTCCCTGTGATTTCCTCTTCACAGATCCAATCATCCACGATGCACAAATGTGGGTAATTGGTTGCAAGGAGACGGAGTAAAGCAGAATGCAACCCTTGAAAATGTACAAGACGTCAATTGGATTCCTCATTCTTAAACATCAAAATCTCTTTTCTCTTTCCCCTTTCCCTTCTCCCTTTCATTTTCCACCAGCCAAAGGAATCCGCACTTTTTACACATGCACACTACAGTTTGAGAACTTCTATTCAGTACTTCAGTCAGGGACTTTGCTTAAATCAAGATCCGCAGTTGAACTGATACAAAAGAAGCTGGAAACCACTACTTATCAAAAGTTCTCAAGCTCTCTTCCATCCTATTCCAGCATAAAAGTAGCAGTAGCTCAAGAGTTGAGTGGGCTATTAAAAAAAAAAAAAAGAGTTGAGTGGGGAGGAAAAAAAGAGAAGGGAAAAAAAGGTTCATTTGGGAAAGATCACATATGGTTTGAAAAAGGCCTCACTCAGAAATTCTGATAGACTTCTACAAGAGAACACATCCGCTCCTCCAACCCAGTTGAGAATCATTGCTATACATGGGTAAAATTAAAGTTGCCAAACTTGAGTGCCTAAATGTACACTTTATGTACATTTTCTCATTTCACCCTAACATTCCTACAAGGTAAGCAGCATCGTCGCTGTTCTACTCTTAAGGAAATAGGCATAAAGATATTTATACAACCCAAGCAGTACTGATGATACCCACAAGAGGGTGCAATTGTCTTCTTTTAAGAAGAATTAGGACGCTCAGAAGCATTGGGACCTCCTTTAACTAAATCTAAGTCTTATTTCTAAACCTGCTTATAGCATAGCTTGACTACTCATTATTATTACTGTATAACATCAGCAATGAAAAAACAAATGATGATAATGTCTATTTAGATAGATGAAGTACTATGTTATTTACCTAATAAATGTTGTTACTATACAATTATCATCATCTCCCAGATGCGAGCGCCAGCAATGAGTATCAGCAGTAATAAAAGTACTTTAGATTTGATCACCCACTTACTATGCAACTTAGATCAAATCAAACCACTGCTTAGTCCCAAAAGGGATAAGTATCTACTGCCTTTCCCATAGAAACTGCTTAAAATAAATGTTTCTGTGAAAAAGACACTGTAACAATCACAAGTAGTATTATTTAAAAGTTTAAATGCACAAATATATATAGTCAGGACGGTCACAAAAATGACTGCTTATAATAGTACAAATTAGTCTACATTACGAAATCCCTTTATTAGTGGCAACATTAGCTACCAAATGCTGCAAAATATAACATCACTTCTCTGAAAAGAGATTAAGCAAAGATATAAATAAATGCAGACATCTGGCTAAAGAAGACCAAAGAAAGTTCATGTTTACCCTTGAAATCAACCATAATAAAGACAGAAAAATAAAATCTGAGCTTCAAAGAAACAAAATCAAAGAGAAAAAAAAATCCGTACATTATAAAAAGCTGTTAAATTAAGAAAAAAAATGAATTTTAAAAATATTACTGTATCTCCACTTGACAGTATTACAGTAAAAGTATTATAGTAATTTCATGCTATGGCATGTTATGTAGCAATTAAAAACAATAATGTAGACCTACATGTAGTAATATGATTATGATAAGATCTCCAAGACTTCAAGAGAAGAAAGCAAGTCTCAGAAGAAATACGGTATGATACCATTTAGAGCTTAAAAAAAGATTTTTTTACGTGTGTGTTTCTATTAGCTTCAACCACATGAAACTGCATTTTCAGAGGTCAAAAATAGTTGAATACCTGTAATCTCATATGGTTCAATCTGTAGAAAAGAACATGTGAAACTGCATACCAAAAGGAAATAGCTAGGGCCTCGGGGGTGGGAAGTAGTTTTCAGGAAGTAAGATAGCGAGGAAAGTAAAGAAAATTCGCTCTTAAATTGCATGTTTAGCTTCGAGCACCTATTACACTATCATCTTACATACAATAGGTATTTCTTACCTATTGTATAGCACATGGATCTCTGCTCAGTGTTATGTGCCAGCCAGGATGGGAGGGGCATTCGGGGGAGAATGGACACATGTGTATGTATGGCTGAGCCCCTTCACTGTTCACCTAAAACTATCACATTGCTAATTGGCTATACCCCAAAATAAAATGTTTTTGGTGCTAAATAAAAATTTAAATTTAATAAAAGTAGGTATTTTTTACCAATAAACATTACCAGTAAAAAGCAAACAAAACAAATACCTCCCAACTCCTGCTGAAGTCCTTGAGCCTGTCGAATAAGGAATTTGATAGGAATTTGATCCATTAAAGAAGATGAATATGATTTGGGTTTTCTTTGCATGGCAGCTGTCAGTCAAAAATAAGAAATATAAGATATAACATCAGAAACAACATGAATCTTAACCTTCAACACAAACAGGAACAAACACAATGTCAAATTACTCTTAATTCACTTAATCTGTGAATATAGCTCATAAAAGATAAAGAATCACTACCAAAGTAGTGAATACATATGACGAGCAAGAACATGCTTCAAGGCAATATCTGGAAAATGCCCTGAAACTGAAACCAGCGGGAAGAAAAATCATGAGTGAGAGAAGCCACCTGCAGAAGTGCCCAACTCTTAAAAAAATAGAAAAGAAACTCCCCCAAACCTAATTAGGAAGACAAATGCAGTCATGACCACATGGCTTAAAATTTCATGATGCCAACAGCCTTAATCATATTATCTATTAGTGGTGACTGACTCTTTCTGAAGAAAGTTGGGAAATATGAATGACTTTCTTCTCCTACAACTTCTACCTTCAACTAACAAATCCATTTTTTTAAGCAAATCCATCTTAATTTCTATTCTTTTTCTGCTATCCTAATTCAATACCTACTCATTATTTATTTAAATAACTATTATGGTTCAATTTTCAATTTTCCAGACTCCAATTCCTCTTCTTTTTGAACCATCCTTCACACTGGTGCCACAGTCTTATTTAAATTCAGATTTGGCCAGATCATGTGTCTCTGGATCCATGCTCAACTATCTGGATCCAGGGATTTCCAGATCCCCAGGGTAAAGGTCCTTGCCAATCAATGCTTTCTGTCTCATCTCCACCATATGCTATATGCCTGACACCCTCATCTTACTTATTCCAAGCTGCACTGCAGGTACAACAGAACTTATGAGCATCTCAACCAGGCTATCCACAGTTTGAAAAACTATATCCTATATACTTTTTCTTTTCCAAACACAAACCACATAATGTGAAGCTCAACAAAATTTTATTGATTGAAGTTAAGAAGTATATGAGTGCAAGTGTTAGAATACAGGTTGAGAATCGTTGCCTAAATAGACGATACACCTCTTGGTTAGACATGATACCCCTTGCCAGGTCAGTGAATTAGCATCCCAGTTTTCCACACAGTTTACAAAAACATAGCTTCTAGTACAATCAAATTCTGGTTCCAACACTATCCAAACTGGAAAGGAAGAAGTAAAACTGCCACTATTTGCAGATATGGCATTATATAGAAAAATCTTAAAGATTCTATCAAAAAACTGTTAGAACTTTAAAAAAAAAAAGTGGTAAAAATGACAAATATCTCAGCCCACAAATGTGTAAATGACTCTCATGCAAATGCTGAGGTGAATGAACACTTGGGGCTTCCATAGTAAGATGAGGGGTCAACATTCAAGGAGCACCTTATGGTATATGGCTTTGTGCCTCGACCGAAGTGAAAAAGTGAAGTCGCTCAGTCATGTCCGACTCTCTGCGACCCCACGGACTGTAGCCGGCCAGGCTCCTCCGTCCGTGGGATCTTCCAGGCAAGAGTACCAGAGTGGGTTGCCATTTCCTTCTCCAAATAATTTCCTAAAGAATGGAGTTGGCTGGTAAAAGAGCAGCTGAGGAGCCTTTTCTGGACATCAAAGTTCCGTCAAGGTAACAAGAATTAAGAAAAGAAAAGAAAAAAGGAAAAAATACTGTGGAAACTAATAAACAAATTCAGTAGGGTTGCAAGATACCAAATTAAATACACAAAAATCTCTTGCATTTCTATAGACCAATAACAATCACAAAGAAAAATTACATTGCCCCTAGCTTTTGTAACATTTTAATCCTTAAAACGTTCCTATGGAAAACTAATTCACTTATGAAATCAGTGTAAACTAATACTAAAGCCAGGAAAAAAAGTGAAGAGTAAAAAGGCCTATTCCACTTGCTTAAACACAGATGGAAAAAATCATATTAAAAAAAAAAAGACAAATCATGTTAAAAGAATAATATACACAAAGCAAGTAGGGCCCACTCCAGAAATATAGATATCAATTATACAACAAATTATATAAATAGACCAAATTATCTCAGTAACTGCTGAAAAAGTATTCCCTTGATAAATTCTTTTTAAATGGTACTCTAAGAAATTCAGTCTGACTAACCCAAAGTAAATGTCTATACCTTCCTTGTAACTAGCAATAACTTAAGAAAAAATTATACAAAGTCTATACAAAGTAAAGTTTAATTGACATAAAAAAATAATTTGAATAAATTCACA